CCTCCTTGGACTTCCAGCAGCATCTCCAAGGGCCAGGTCTCTTCCAGCCCTGTTGAGACCTGACACCCTTCGTGACACTTATGGGAGGACAGGTGGTTCATCATTAACACAAACCCAGCCCTCAAAGCCTCTGCCCCTTTGCAGGGATGGGAAGCAGCCCCTGCCCGGTGGCGTTGCCCAAAGCCAGGGTCAGCCCAGCTTTCCCCTTCTCCCCCCTGCGCCTCGCCTTGTTCCCAGCGCAGCATCCCTCGCTGTGCCCCCAGCCGTGCTCTCAATAATTCAAACATCTCCAGTGTCAGCTTCCCGATGAGTCATTCTCCCAAACAGAGACCTGTGCAGTCAGCACTTCCCACCCCCATCACCTTCCCTTCACGCCTGGGATGGAGCGCGCTGCGGCCGGCTCCTGCATCCCAGCATCTCCCCAGCTCCCAGCATCCCAGTTTGGGTCCAAGTGAGTCTTGGTTTCAGCACAGCACGGCTTTGCATGATGTGTGCAGAAGCCGCTGGGGATGTCTCAAGGTTGCAGTGAGCATCAGCAGGTGTTGCAGGCTCCGATGCCGGCATCGCGTGTGCCGGTGTGCACGTGTGGCCCAAAGGAAGTGGGAGGCAGAGCCTGGGGTAATTCAGGGCTGCGATGGATCGATACAGCCCTGCTGGCTTCATTACACAGCTCTGTGCATCTGGCCTTGGACTTCCAGGAAGGTTTTTCCCGATTAAATGAGGTGGTGAACCAGAGTCCCGCTTCTCTGTGTTCACTTAACCCAGCTGTGCCTCAGTTTCCCCATGGGCACAGCAGTCAATAACCAACTGTAATTAGTGCAATGAATGAAAATGTCTTGGGTTATGCTGAGGTCTCTGCTGTCCTGGGGGTCAGCGGGGCTTCAGCCTCGGCTGTCCCAGGTGCTGGGTAGCAGGAGGAGCCGTTCGTACTCCCAGGCTGGGATTCATCCCGGTGAATCCAGGGCTGAATTCCTCATCGGTGTGGGGAGAGCATTAAGCAACTGTTTTCAGACAAAATGCTAGACGGGATGTGATGTGGGGATGGAGAATTAAACCTACAACAGTCCTGAGACTGCAGTGGAGGAGACAGGCATGCTGGGTTTGAACCCGGCGGCTTGTCCCCATCCTCCGGTGGGATACAGGGGAGCAGAACCAGGCGGGGACCGGGACAAGCAGCTGGTTTTAGGAGCAACTTGCTGTTGTGTGACATCTTGGTTGCCCCAACCATCGCCTCTATTGTCCAGATGGGGAAACTGAGGCACGGAGCTGGAGCAGTAGATTGCTGAGCTTTCCTGTGCTCCATGTTAGACCCCTCTTTATTTTTTCAGCTGAGTGGCCTCATCTCCCCTGTCCCATGGGGCAGACACTGATTTTCTGCCTTTTCTTCCCACCACGTTTAACCCTGGGCTGGGGTTCCCACCCGGCTGGGAGGCCAGTGCTGGACAGATGGATGTGGGAGCTGGGGAGCGATGGACAGAGCAATTCTGGGGGTGCTGAGCAGCCCTGGGATGCGGAGCTGGCTGCTGCTTTCCCTCCAAGCAGGCATCTGCCGGGGAGCATGGCTCCATGCTGGTACCAACGTGAGCTGGAGCCAAATTTCCAGGACTCGGTGTGCTGGGAACCAGTATGGGCTGGCAGCGCTGAGCTTCCCCGCCGGGGCTGCCGAGCACGGCGATGCATGGGTGTGGGCTCGTGCCCATTTTTCCAGAGATCACAGGAAGAAAATCTCCAATATTGGAGAAATTTGCATCTTAGTCTGTCCATCTGTCTCATCCCCGTCTGTCGGCAGGTTGTGGTGTGGATGCCCAGGAGATGGGATGCTCGTGGTCCTTCCCGAATTTCTGCCCTGCTCTCTGCCTCTCCTTTCATCCTCCCAATCCCCCTGGGTCGCTGCATCTTAATTTATCTCCCCACCTGCGTTTCTAACACATTAATTCCCAACTTGCTGCCAGGACACTCAGCTCAGAACCACGTTGCAGCATGGCTGCTCAGAGCAGCATCAGCTGCCACAGATCCTGCCCGGGGCCAGGGGATGGTGGCTGTCACCGGGGTGTAAATCCAGCCCAACGCAACCAGGCTCCGGCGTGTGCCTTTGGAAAAAAAACCCCCCCGCGGGGGGGAGCCACATGCTCCCAAGCCCGTTCCTCAGCCCCTGGCAGGAGGTTGGAGCAATTCATCAGGCGGGCGCTGCAGCGTGAGTCATCGCATCCTTTACGGTCATTTGGTTCTGCTTCAAGAACTGCTAATTCCTCACTGGCCTCCTCAATTAGGCAGAGATTAACCGAGTTTCTAACTCGAGCTGTTTCTACCCCTACTGAAGGACCTCGCTCCATGCCGGCTGGCACAGTGGATGGTGCTGCTGGGGGTGTGGGGTGGCTGGGGGGGGCGCGTGCTGGGGCTGGGGGCCCGGGGGT